TTACAGTACAGTACTGATTTTGTTACTAACGGTATACAATAACATTTTTATTAGTGAAACAGTACCAAAAACATTTAAAGAATCGATTATTTTTCCTTTACACAAAAAAGGCGATGTTAATTTAGCTGATAACTACCGAGGTTTGTCTTTTATTAATAGCATTACGAAAATATTCACGAGCCTTATAAATATTAGATTACAAACGTGGATGTGCGAGAATGAAGTACTAACAGAATTTCAGGCAGGTTTCAGAAGAGGATACGCCACCATCGATAACATATTTAATCTGACATGTATAATTAATTTACGTCTATTACAAAAGGGACAAAAGCTTTATGCATTCTTTGTAGATTTTAGCTCGGCTTTCGACACAATTGATCGGAGAGCATTGCTTTTCAAATTGGCAAATTTAGGTGTCTCCACGCGAATGCGGAATGTTTTAAAGAGTTATTACAGTGAAACAAGTTCTAGTGTGTGGTGTGGAGGCGGAATAACTAGTTATTTTCAAACTAATACAGGTTTAAGACAAGGATGTAATCTGTCACCGACTTTATTCAGCCTATTTATAAATGATCTGCCAGAAGTGGTGGAAGGGGGGTGTAACATCAATGGGGTTAAAATAAATGTGCTACTTTATGCAGACGATATTATTCTCCTTTCCCCAACGAGCACTGGGCTGCAGCATATGATTAAAAAATTAGAAAACTATTGTGACACTTGGAATCTAACTGTCAATCTAAATAAATCTAAGATAATGGTGTTCAGAAAGGGTGGAAGACTAAAGGCAGGTGATAAGTGGAGGTATAAAGGAAACGTTATCGAGGTAGTAAATCAGTATAAGTATTTAGGGGTTACATTTACAAGCAACCTGTCATGGAACAGCCATTTTAAGGAAAAAGCCAGAGTAGGGAAATTTGTTATCAATTCTGTATGGAATTCTTTATTTAAAAACAATAAAGTGCCAATGATTTCCAAAATATCGTGTTTCGAGGCTGTTGTGCGATCGACAACCTGTTATGGAGCACAGACCTGGGGTTTCATAGAAAGTGAAATAATAGAATCAGTACAAACTTTTTTTCTAAAAAGAATATTTGCACTGCCTTATAATACGCCAAAATATGTATTGTACCTTGAAACATACTTCGATAAACTTTATTTTTACACTATAAATTTAAATATTAACTATATTTTGAGATGTTTAACTTTGCCACCAAAAAGATTGCCAAACTTTTTAGCAAAACAAATAATTGAGAAAAAAACATCTTGGTGTAGAGAATGGGAGTATTTGGGACAAAAATGCAATATTGAGTTTAGTTTCCAAGATCTCGATCCAGAGGGGTTGGGCCTCCAGCTGAGGACGGTGGCGGAAGTGTTGCGTGGCAGGTGGAGGGAGGAGTGTGTAGGCCGAGCGCGGACCTCTGTCCACCACAGGCAATTACTGACGCTCGACCTTGAACTTGGCGATAGGAGCCCAATAATGCTCAACAATACGCATATCGCTTCTTGGGCTATTAAAGCTAGAGCAGAACTGATAAATCTAAACTACAAGCCGTGGTCTGAACAAAATTATCTTTGCACTCTCTGTAATCTTCAACAAAATGAAACTGCATATCATTTTATTGCAATTTGCCCTATTTTAAAACATATCAGACGTCTTTGGCTTGGAAAAAATACTTTAAACGAAACAGAATATGAGTGTTTTTTAAATGGGTGGAATTGGCGAGCTTTAGCCCAGTATTTAAGTAAGGCATGGAAATATAGGTGGGACATAATTAATGAGTTCAATTTATAGCTAAAATTTCTTTCTTTATTTATTTCTCTTCAATTATAATTAAAAATCATGAGACTCGCTTGGAACCATATTTTTAAACGAATTAATGTTGCTTTTATTTTATGTTTTTTACGAGCTGTATTACATAAATTTAAAAATAATTATAAATGTACTTTTTTATATAAGTATACCTAGTTAAATAGTTACTTACATGTTAAAGTTTTAAAATATGTTATTTTACAGCAAGGTGCCAACCAAACAGACGGTTTAAATAAACCATTGTTTTGTGTGTTTTGTTTTTTATTGTAAAAGATGTAAATAAGTTGTGAAGAATAAAGCACTTTTTTCTTTCTTTCTTTCTTTCTTCTTTCTTTCTTTCTACAGTACTGATTTATCACAACAGAGGAATGTCAATAATAATCATTAACTTTAGCATTGGTGTTGCTAGTTGAAACAAATCGTATTGAAAACAATAAATTATTAGATAAGTCATTATAAAAGTGTATAATCATAGCCAACTTAAAGATAACAAAATCACTCGAAAAAGGAATGTTAAAATAACGATCTTGTTATTCTTTCTCTTTGGTTTTGTTTTTATATTCTTTCTTAGGTTTCTCTTTATCCAAAAATTGTACAATTCACCATTGTTACTTATCGCCTAATCACAGCTTACTAAACTACTAAACATTACGTCGTCATCAGTCCTCAGTGAATGAAATCAGTTCTCAGTTGCAACATAGCGCGCGCAGCGACAGCAGACAGAGATGTGTAAAACGGAGCAGACGAATGTTAGCGCAAGCGATGACTTCACCTTTCCATTTCATTTGATAAAGAAACAGATTTTTCAAAAACAATAATGGGGTGGGGGATTTGTTATATCGAGGGCAAGACGTAGACAATTCGTTATGCAGAGGTTAAATTCGCAATGTAGAGGTTCTGACAATGACGAATTCGCTAAATTGAGGTGTCTTATTTTAGCCGAAATCACGAAAAATTCGTTAAATCAAGGTCGTTGTTATGGTTTGTTCGTTATGTAGAGGTAAAATATGCATTGTGTCTTATGGAGAGTTCTAGGGGATTTAAAAAAATTCGTTATATCAAGGAATTCGTTGTATCGAGGTTCGTTATATCAAGGTTAGACTGTACATAATTGAATTAGGGGATTTGCTACGCTTTAACCAAAGCAAATTGAAATTACAAACAAAAAAATTATTTAAAAATTTGGATAGTGTCATAAAATTTTATGATAATAATATTTAGGCCTAATCAAACTGTAAAATTGGTGTAAATCCGAAATATATAAATAAGTAAATAAATACACAGTCCACAAAACATTGATACGTTAACAACGTAAAGCCTTAACAATTCATGATGGGAAAAATCTTTCACTAATGTTTCATCATTTTCATAGCATAAACTAACATTTTGGAGTCCAGACAGAAAACACAAAAATTATACAGTAGGCCTAAGACATTAATTAAATTTAATAAGAAATTAGGTGCCGTACTAACGATAACCAAGTTGTAAATAGTGATGTGTACGTATAAACTATAAACGATTCTTACTGCTACCACCGGTTCTAAAGAAAAGTACCAGTACCAAAAACCAACGTTTACAGCTAAGAAAAGAACTATAGTACTTAACTTATGACCAATTCAAACTAACGCAACCGGTGGTTATATAACGCAATTCACGGGAACCATCAGCCTCGAACGCGACCCCCAGAGATGGCCGACCCTTCGTCGACGCGGTCATCTCAGGTGAGACGTTCAGCGCCCTCGTTGATACCGGCTCGTCAGTCAGTCTGATTGGAGATCGTACGTCACCTTCGGATGTGCGGCGTCGTACCCGACCAGACTGACGTCAACCAACGTATGGCCAACGGAGCGTGTGTTTCGGATCGATACTGAGTAGACGACGGAATCGCTGGCCAACCTTATTCGCGGGATATCCACGTCCCGGGCCTAAGTGTGGAGGTGGTACTCGGCATTCGGTGTACTGCTGACCTAGCTCTCATCAGAGTACACACCGCAGTACGAAACCTCCACAACGACAACATTCCCCCGCCCTTTCCGGTCAACAACATCAACCACGGAATCCAAATTATCAAAATTACACGGAAAAACACGAAATTTGCAGAATTTCTGGAATGCCAGATACTGCTTTATGACAACGATTAGGGGTAGTCGGCGTTGACTGAGCAGACGCTGTGGCTCAGGGCAAACGCAACCCCTTTCAAACAGAGGTATCCTAGAAATCCTGTTACGCAATCTGTCGAAGTGGATGCTTTCCCGAGGCAACCCGTGGCAAACGAGGGCCACACGGGCCTGGCCACGGTGAGTCACCTCACATCGGAGGTGGCCGACATGCCTCGTGAACGTCCCAACGAACGAATTCGCCGAGACCGGAAGGACGACACATCGAGGCTACCGCGACGAACAACGGCCAATCGGGCCATGTCGCGGTGAGTCACCTCACATCGGAGGTGGCCGACGTGCCTCGTGGACGACGCCCGACACGACGTAGATTCTAGATTCTTCGAAACCGAAGAGTATCGAAAAACGCAACGAACTCCGACTCACGCCCGACGGAGCTGGTGATATCCCTCTCGTTGGTTGATACGATACGATACGAACGATTACGACGACTTCCACAGGCACCCCTTCTTCGAGACCATTCGGACCCCGTCCAAACCGTTACGTTTAAGATTTTTTTTTCTTTTTTTGCTTAAGTTGGTAAGGGGTGTAAGGTACCAAATTTTAAGGGGGGTAAAAACGTACTGAATAAATGAACATCAGAACTTACCCGATTTTTAACCACAATAGCCTACTCCGAGGCCTATGTGTTGGCCATAGCTTGGGCTATGGGTCAAAGAACGTAGGCCTATTTTTATTCACAGTGAAGTACACAAACACATCCACAACTACATATTTATTCATAATAGCACTTCGTTTCACATAATTAAGTTAAACCGGCCGATTTTACAGATATTTAACGCCACCGACGACATAACCCCAAACTGGTGTTTATTTGTTGACAGACGACAGACGAAACTAGACCAGCTCAACAAGTAAATTCGATTAGCTGTTATCTAGTAGTACTTGAGTTCGCGGAAACTCAAGTTTAGTAGTTTAACTCAAGTAGTTTAACACATAATTCTGTTGTACACTAACTTCGTTCCACCCTGTATATTACTATATTATGTTTATGTTTATTATTATATACATACTTAGATCTAAATCGCATAGCACCAAAGAGAGCTCCTCCGAAACACATGGGCAGCTGGGTGTGAAATGCCTCCACCCACTTGACAGTAACCTCTCCTGGAAAAACCTTTCAAATTACAATCTTGCCTCATTGTTTTGAAATTACTATTATATTATAATAAGACAAGACACAATTTTAATTTTAAGGCAAATGTAATTATGAAGTTTCTTCTTTCCCACAGGATTAATTGTTAATTTTAAAAAACATATAAACTACTTCCTTTCACATTTGGGTAGGTTGAAATGCAATCTTATTAATCAAAGTAATCTAAGCGGATGATCTATTAGTAATCTATATTATTATATCTATATTAGCAAATAAATCAATAGATCATCTTTCATCTTTTAAATTTCCCATTAGGGATTAAGCTATTACCATAGGTCTTATATGGTAAGACCTGGACCAGGGTTTACTTTTTCTTTTTGATGTCCCTAGAGACCAAAAAACCAACCGTTAAATTCATTTAGTATATATATAAAAAATTAAATAATTTAAAAAAGGGTACAGTACTATGTTGTATTATTTATTAATATTAATAACGGTAGCCCTACACGTGAACAATATCAAATATATTTTATATATATTGGCTATATACATATATATGTGTGTGTGTGTGTCCGTTTTGAGGTCCCCAGAGGCCAAAAACACCATCTGTTCAAATTCATATGTGTATATATATATATATTTATATTTGTGTCCGTTACACGATAACTCAAAAAAGAATTCAATTTGTATGAAATTTTGTAAAAACTTGTTAGCCTACATTTATTTTAATGAGTTTGTGAACCAGCATAATCAGACTATGGGGATGAGGGTTTATGGGGTAAAAATTGGTTTTTCCCAATTTTGACCATAAAAACATAAAATTTTGCAATTTCCTTCCAAGCCGTTTTTTAGAGCTTTTGTAGGGCTTAAAAACAAATAATCAATATATAGAAGCGTTGCCATGCTATTTGGAAAATATTTATTTCATATATATTTATTATATTTATTTTTTTTTCATATATATTTAAATATTTATTTAGCTATAATAACCTTCCCTGTAGCAGCAAATCTACGTACTCTTTAAACTAATGTTAATTAAATCAGGAATATGGCATTTTTTAAGGAGGTATTTTAGTTAAAATCCAATCAGGCAAATGAAAATTCTCTAAGTATGCAGGTTTGCTGTGGTGGGGGTATTTTATTATGAAATAGCTAAAAGGCTCTCTTAAAACCCAAACAATAAAAGAATAGAAAATTACCAAGCATATTAGTAGGCATTCCAAGAACTGCATGGTTTAAGTCGTGAGTTTCTCGATATCTTTGCATCACATAAGCAAGTTCTACATCATCTACAAATTGCACAGGTAGTCTTGAATCAGGAGACACTTTCTGTAACAGAATCTATATTTATAAAAGAGGAAGTTTGTATATATTGCGAGTCCCATGCCTCACTTTAAATTTAAGTTTCCTAAATTGTTTCACTCGCTTAGCTTAGTGAAGAGGTGTTAGGTCAATGAGACATAAGACTGCTTAAGGGTGTTACTCAACGTGTAATGAACAAATTTTAAATTTAAAAGAACAAGTTACAAGGTGAAACAACAGCAAAAGAAAACTTTGAAAAGGCAAAAATCAACAATAATAAGATAAATTAATTTACAACGTTAAATTTACAAGAAAAGAAAATCAATTGAAAATATAAAAGAATTAGTTACTGACAAATTATATGACTTGTATGTTTGACAATAATACCCCCGCCGCAGCAAACCTGCCGACTAAGCGAATTTCCATTTGTCTTAATTGATTTTCAATTAAATATATTTTAATAACATTAGGTTTAACGAGTACCTAGGTTTGCTGCTACAAGGAAACTAATAAAGTGTGTTTTTTTGTAAAATATTGATAGCTTAGTACAAAATAAATAAATTTGATCCAAATACAAAATATATCCATAAACAAGCAAACTACAACATTTGACAATATTCTCCATAAGAATAACATGGGAATTTTAAATTTACAATTTTTTTTAATTTTCTCCGTTACTATTAACCAAACTGTTACATATGTTATTAAGATTCACAGATGTTCAGAATTATTTATTATTATGTTTGTTTAATTCAATGTTGTTGTTTAGTTCAAGCTAACATTATGAAATGATTAAATTAAGTTTTATACAGTTCTTGTTAATAATTGTATTTAATAATTGGCGACGAGGACAATTAATTATTTCTACGTTTCTATTTTACACTTATTACATTTACTAGTACAAATAATTGATTATGGCCTCCTTACAAGGAAATAAAACATTGAGTGAACTGAAGAAAGCAAGGGCTGTTGTTAAAGGTCAGTTGACTAGAGCTGGGAAAATGCTGGAAGAATTGTCTAGTATTAAAATTGATAGTATCAGAACAAGACTCTCAGTGATACATGCTTATTGGGAACGATTCGAGCAAATCCAGCACAATACCACTGTTACATATGTTATTAAAATTCACAGATGTTCAGAATTATTTATTATTATGTTTGTTTAATTCAATGTTGTTGTTTAGTGTAATTCCACACTGTTCAAGGAAGCTAGTAAACTCTAAGGAAGTAAACTGTCGTCCATTGTCTGACACAAGAAGATCTGGTAATCCAAAAGTAGAAAACATTTTTCACAACTCCTTTACTGTCCAAGTAGCTGTAGTACATTTCGTAGGCAATACTTCTACCCACTTGGTAAATGCGTCAATGACTAACAGGAAGTAAAGTCCATTTGTAGGGCCAGCAAAATCAATGTGAATCCTTTCCCAAGGTCTAGTAGCTGGTATCCAAGGATGGTTCACTTCTTTTTGTGGTGCATTTTGTTTTTCTCTACACGCTCTGCATGATGCAATCATCTCCTCGATGGGGCCTAAAAAAGTTCTTTACTTATTGTTACGGTCGCAAATTCACCCTCGTAACCGACCACAAACCACTAGTCACAATCTTCAACCCAGAAAAAAATCTTCATTATTACGTTAGAATGGATGATGGTCAAACTTGGAGGCGAAACGTCGACCAGATGCTGCGCACAAAACTTTAAGGGGGGGACCACTGTTACATATGTTATTAAGATTCACAGATGTTCAGAATTATTTATTATTATGTTTGTTTAATTCAATGTTGTTGTTTAGTTCAAGCTAACATTATGAAATGATTAAATTAAGTTTTATACAGTTCTTGTTAATAATTGTATTTAATACAAACAAAAATACTTTTATATACTAAATTAATTGTTTTTTTAAGCGCTTTAAAAAGGTCTAAAGAGAAATTGGGAAATTTTGTGTTTTGAGGGTCAAAAGTGAGAAAAACCAATTTTCACCCCATAAAAAGCACCGTAAAGCACCGTTCCCATGGTCCGATCATGCAGATTCGCGAACTCATTCAAGTTTATCACGCTTTACACCTTTAAATCAAATTTCATCAAAATCGGACAAAAATTACTCAAGGTATAAAAAATAAGGTAAAAAATCAAGGTAAAAAATGTTCACGGACGTATATATATATATATATATATATATATATATACAGGGTGAGTCCTCTAAGCTGTCCTAAACAGATTACAGACGAACGGCTTGACACACAGAGACGAAACAAAACTTTTCCCCACTAATTCATACCCAAGGAACAACGTAAAAATATTTTTACCATTTTTAAAATACAGGGTGTTCAAGAAACTGGGGGTCATGGGTTTGAATTGATGTTGTAATGGTAAATTGTTTGAGTGGAAACCTGTCACAAATAAAGATGTCCTAAAGGCAGTAGAGCATCTCAGTAACTCGAGCAGTAATGATTATTATAACATGTCAAATAATTTTTTAAAGCAAATAATTCCAAGTATAGTTACCCCTTTTGTAGTTTGCATCAATAGTATTTTACTAGATGGTCACTTTCCAGATGAACTTAAAATTTCTAGGGTTTGTCCTGTTTATAAGAAGGGGCCTAAAGATAAGCCAGAAAGCTATCGTCCTGTGTCTCTTGTGCCTGTACTGTCAAAAATTATAGAAATAATAGTTTACTATCAGGTCATCTTGTTTTTAGAGGAAAATGAAATTTTGTACAGTTCTCAGTTTGGCTTTAGAAGGGGCAGGGCTACCCAGGATGCCATGGACGATCTCATTTCCCAAATCTTGCAGGCTTTTGAGGCGAGGTCCTATGCTCAAGTTACCTTCTGTGACTTGAGTAAAGCCTTCGATTGTGTTGATCACTCAGACCTTCTTTCAAAATTGCACTTCTATGGCATCCAGGGTGTTGCCTTGCAACTTTTCGAATCTTATCTAAAGGATAGGAGACAAGTTGTGTATATTGATGGTGTTCAGTCTCAAGAGGTTTATTTGAAATATGGTGTTCCCCAAGGATCAGTTTTGGGCCCTCTGTTATTTTTAATTAGTATTAATGATTTACCTCATAATGTGCAAAGTAGAACCCTTCTTTACGCTGATGACACAACATTTGTTAACACTTCCAGTAACTTGCTGCATTTAAGTAATTTGGTAAATAACTCTATAGAAGAAGCTTCATCTTGGTTTAGAGCTAATGGCTATCTCTTAAATAAAAATAAAACTGAAAATATAGTATTCTCTTTGAGGCCTTATGACCATGAATCTTTAGCTATAGAAACAGCTTTCAGTACCAAGTTTTTAGGTGTATGTGTTGACCAACAGCTTACTTGGAATACTCATATTGATTGTGTTACTACTAGACTTTCTAGAGTTGTTTTCTTGTTGGGGCGTATGAAATACTGTGTAACTCCAGAATATATCCCGATGGCTTATTTTGCTTTTTTTCAATCAATAATTGCTTGTCTGGGGCAATTGTTCAAGAATTGAAGAAGTGTTAATATTAAAAAAAAAAACTGTTAGAATTATTGATGGTTCAGCTGATCTTGAACATTGTAGGCCTATTTTTATTAACCTTTATATTTTAGAACTTGTTATTTATTCTTTAAAAAAACTACCAGTCATGGTCCTGAATGAAGATGTACATCCCTACAATACTCGTGGTAGACATCAAATAAGGTACCAGCACCTCCGTTTGAGCAAATCTTTAAATAGCCATGTTGTTATGTGTAAGAAAGCTTATAATAAGGTAGTTATTAATGTAAATAAGTATCCACAAAAAATATTTTTTTTAAAATTCAGTGACTGGCTCTTGAGAAATCCTTTTTACAGTATTGAAGAGTTCCTAGAACAACCTGTGATAAGTCTGTAACTTTGTATCCAAATCTGTTAATTATTTCTATATAGTCTATTTTTGTTTTCTTCAACTTTGTTAATTGTTCATTTGTTAAATTGTTTATAGTCTATTGTGATTGTTAACCCTGTAGTTAAAAGGAATTTGTACAACATAGACTCATACCCAAGTTACCTCTGATTATTTAGACAATGAACATTGAAATTTTATGTTCTGCTCCACTGACAATGTCAATGCATGTAAATGTCCATGATAATAAATGATTTGATTTGATTTGAATCTCAGAGTTTTCAAATGTAAACATATGTCATGTTATGCATCATTTTAAAGCTCTAGACTAGACAAACAATTTAGTGAAACCAGAACTCATTTATCTTTGTCCGTTTCAAAATGGCGGCCATTTTTATAGAAAATATTGATACTTACAGAATACCCTGTATCTTGACAACCACTAAACTTATTTTCGTTCTGTTTGAAAATTCCTAATCCTCGTAGGTTCAGCTTTAATTTGATATACGACAAGTCAAAATTTTAAAAACTAAATATTTTTTCTATGATTTTAATTTTTTTTAAGTTGGTAGCCTTGTAAATGAAAATTTTTAAATTGCAACATATGTAATATTGTGTATCATTTTTAAGGTCTTGTAAAAACAAACAACTTTTAAATTTAAACCTACCATCTATCTTTGGTCGTTTTCTAGTAATTAACCAAAAACTCCAATTGCCTATATAAAACCCATGTTAAACGTGCAGTACTGAAGATTAGTGGATGCAGATACACTATTCCCATGATACTATACGTTTAACATGGGTTTTATATGGGCAATTGGAGTTTTGGGTTTTAATTAATAGAAAACGATCAAAGATAGGCGGTAGGTTTAAATTTAAAAGTTGTTTGTTTTTACAAGACCTTAAAAATGATACACAATATTACATATGTTGCCATTTAAAAAGGCTACCAACTTAAAAAAAAATTAAAATCATAGAAAAAATATTTGGTTTTTAAAATGTTGACTTGTCGTATATCAAATTAATGCTGAACCTACGAGGATTAGGAATTTTCTAACAGAACGAAAATAAGTTTAGTGGTTGTCAAGATACAGGGTATTCTGTAAGTATCAATATTTTTTATAAAAATGGCCGCCATTTTGAAACGGACAAAGATAAATGAGTTCTGG